GCAACTTGATCGCCGAACTACGATGATCATTGGAATTGTGGCGTTTTATGGGGGCGGGAAATGGACCCGTTTGAATTTGTGACGCCTCGGGGGTGGCGCCTGGGGGCGTGGCTGGGACCTAGATTGCCTCCAGGGCCTAAAAATCGTCGGGCGGGCGCCCGAAAGAGCACCGGCCTTTGCGCCGGAGGGGGCGAACGAGTGGAGATGCTCTAATCAAGCTGAGTACTAAGTATTTCAAGGAGAATGTCAAGCAAGAAAGAACCCAATCATTGATGCTTGCTATTGCTACTTGCTGCCGCTCCTACTTGCCATGCTACTTGCCGCTCCGGCCGTTACCTGCTCGCTGGTGGTGTCACCTGCTAGGGATAAAGTGCCATGGTCTTTTGATGAGATAGTATAAATTTTGTTGGCGGAGACTTTGACAACCCAACTACACAAACACATGACGGTGTGCCTTAGCAGGCACTAAACCAACTCTAGTATGGTTATTGACGGTGTTGAAAACGCAATCAACCTTATCACAAAGATCAATCACTGCATACAACCGAGGAACAAGAAAAGTATAAAAAAATGCAATCTAAATTGAGGATGTAAATTGAAGTACTTGATTAGCATAGTGGGATTCTGATGCCACATGGTGCAGGTGGTCTCGCCTACTCTCGTGTCTATGACAAAGTGTAGCAAACACCAAAACGTAATCAACAAAACCCAAATCCTAACTCGCCGCCCCTTGGGGTATTTAAGGAGGGACAAAGGGGGAATTTAGCCAAAACAAGGAGCGGGTGCCAAATACAACCTTAAGTGAGTATCCTCTATAAACATGCTAAAAAATTGCATGTAATCTTTTAGTCCAAAAATTCATCTTCTCCCAAGTAAGACTTCAAATTTATTTAGATGCAACCAAACAAGATCTCCTAGTTCAAACACAACAATCTTTCTACCCTTATCACCTACAAGTTTGTGATTAACACTCATGAATGCTATGTTGTCTTTTGTCTTCTCATGCATCTTTAATATTAGTTTAGAATGATGTGTCACATCAAAATTAATCTTCTCCAAAGATGGAAGTGACAAAAAAATCAATGGGTACATGGGGTATAAGATCATAACCAACTTCAAATGGACACATTTTAGTGGTAGAATGTAGCGAGCGGAGTAAATATTATTTAAGTTTTTTCTAAGACGACATCCCTAAGCATAGTATGTAATTTTCTATTGACTACTTCAATTGTCCATCAGTTTGGTGATGACATTAGTACTAACTAACCATTTAGTCATCAACTTATCCCATAAAAATCTTCAAAAGTGACTAAGTGACGATGCGATGACCCCGGGGTATAGCTCCGGAGGACAAAAGAGGCCCAATGACATTAGTGCAGCCCAAGCAACAACTCAACGTCCATCGATAATCCAGAGCGCATCACCACCTTGGGGGACAAGACATAGACACCCCTTCGTATTAGGCTAGGAAACAAGTCTGGATATGGCATATATTAACCCACCACGGTTATTTACCAAACGTAGCATAGGACAACTCCTTGACCGACTCAGGACCTATAACCCTGCCTCAACCACCAATATATGTCCCGGCAGAGACCCCCTGATGGGAACCTCATTCTAATATGCATCTGAGGCTTCAACCTTTTTATGATCTTGCGAACGATCCCTTGTAGATGCAAACCCTAGTTTCTCATACAAGGCTAGATCATCAGTGCAGACAAGCAAGAGTAGATTATTACCTCAATACGAAGGCCTGAGCATGGGTAAATTGTCCTCGTTATGCTTGAATATGTATTGACAGGAAAATACCAAGTCAGTTGGCGCGCCAGGTAGGGGTTGCGCGTGTCATGCGTCATAGACGTGTCTATAATATTTATATTGCCTCATGCCATATTAATATCATAATGGCATAATTTTAGCATCATCATTTATCTTTTTCTGGACTAACCTATTAATTCGGTGCGGAGTGTCAGTTGTTGTTTTCTTTTTTGGGCTTTTCAAAATCAATTTTCTAGAGACAAAAAAACAAAGAAAAATACATCAAGAAGATTTAAGAGAAAATGTAGCCGGAGGTCACCGGCCCCACCAAGGACCCCTGTGGGGCCCACATGGTAGGTCGGCACTGCCTAGCCACTAGTTGCACGAAGGGGGCGCGTGTGCCCGAGAGGAGGCGCCTCTACCACCTCTCGTCACCCCTGCCTTTGTATTTACCCAAAAAAGTTGAACTATTTATCGAGGATTTTTCATCGACACCACCTCTCTATGTTCCATGGAGATCTAGTTTGGAGGCATGTTCCATTACTTGCCGGAGGGGGAATTCATCGTGGAGATCACCTACATCAACCTTGTTGACATCATGTCCATTTGTGAGTAGTCCTCCTTGGACTATAAGTTCATAACAGTAACTAGATGCCAATTTCTCCCTTTTCCTTAATAAATGAATTCATGAACATTTTCTAATTTTTGAATATTTTTTGAAATTTGTTAACATTTATTGAAAACCCGCACATTTTTAAAAAATCATGAACAATTTTCTAATTCACATATATTTTTAATTTGTGACATAGTTTTACTTCGTGAGCATTTTAGGAAATTCATGAACATTTTTTTATTTCGGAGAGATTTTTTGTTTCACAAACTTTTTAAAAATTCTGCACATCTTTTTAATCCATGGACATTTAAAAAATAAATATTTGTTGAAATCAAATTTCATGAATATTTATATAATCACAAAAAAATTTAAAAAAATCTTGAATATTTGTTCAATTTTTTCTTGAATATTATTTGAATTTTGTTAAAATAAAAAAGGAAAGGTGCCAAAAAAAGAAAGGAAATAGAAAAAACTCCAATAAAGCAACCTGCACGCGCACTAGGCTGGACTAAAGTCGCATGGGTTGGTGCGCATTTACCGCTCTGGTGGTGGCAGCCACACAGGGAGCATTCCTGCGCGTTTGCTCGGCCTCCATCGCCCTATGTGAGGATTAGGAAATCCTGAAATCAAAGTCAAACCCTATTCGATGCCTTCAGAGCCAATTACTTTTAAAATTCATGATTTTTTTAATCCTCTAACAGTTTTTTTTCCAAAATTATGAACTTTTTAACATTCTTGATTCAGAAAAATAAAAAAAATCATGAAGTTTGTCATTCTTCATGTTTTTTCAGATTCTCAAACTTTTTAAATCTTGCAAACTATTTTCGAGTTTACTAAACTTTTTTTAAAAGTTTAACTGTCAACTGTGTCACTCGTCAATGGTCGACTCGTCAAGTCAACCATGCGAGACGCTTGCCCCTTTATCGGGTCGGCCCACGAGCGGGCATCGTGCGGTCACTCCTTCAACAAATAGCGAATAAGGCGCCAAGTACGAGGGGCGCGACTATATCACTTGGGGCATGTACAATGATGATATATTAGGAGTGCCACATAGGATAAATGTTGAGGTGGACGAAAAAGAAATCATAAGAAAATACTTGTCTTCTTTTATTTAAGAGATGATCTCTTAGTACAATATGTCTCATCGTATTTTGTAGAAATAAAAAAATGTTCTTGATGTATATGAAAAATGTAGAACATGTATTAAAAAAATAAACATCAAAACATAAAATCCTGATGCTCGCATTTATCCTGGATTTATTTCAGGAATTCCGGCGGTACACTTTCAGTGGGAGGAGACGTTCCCATCGACTACGAGGCGCCTACGGTGACTTCGTAAAATCTCAAGATGATATGTCGGCTCAGTCTCTCGGAGGTGCTCATAGGGGTAGGGTGTGCGTGTGTTCGTTCATAGGGGTGAGTGTATGCGCGTTTATATGAGCGCTTGCGTTTGTACTGTGTTAAAAAAACATAAATTTTTTAAAAATGTCGATTGAGTATCAAAAACATATGTTAATAATATATTTATAAAATTTACATTTGTATAAAAATATGTAACTAATATATAAAATGTGTAGAAAAATGTAATCATCAAACATATTTAATAAAATATTAATCACGTATTTTAAAAAATTTAAACATCTACAAAAAAATGTTTCTAATTTATAAAAAATATACAATGTGCATGAAAAATATATTCATCTAATACAATATTTTAAAATATGTTAAACATCTACTGAAAAAATGTTGTTGATGTATACTGAAAATATACAATGTGTATGAAAGAAAATCAAACATAGAAAAACACATATTTTAAAAAGATAGTTATGATGTATTTGAAAATTTGAAGAAACATGAAAAATATTAATAAAATGGAATAAAATGAGAAACAAACAAAAAACCAAAGGAGAAAAGTAAAATAAAAAATAAAAAAATAAGAAAACAATTAAAAGGGAAATAACTGAAGAAAAGGAAAATGACCGTTGTGGTTGCCCCCAAAGGGGTATCTGTCAGCTAGTCGCTCTCATCACTTTCAGATGAGCGCAAGAAGGTCCTTGTGGCCTTGTTCAGCTCGATCCAGGCGACATCAAAGGTGAATGATTAATTTTTATTTTTATTTTTATTTTACGGGGGCATGATTAAATTGACCCCCTCCTCCCATGTAGTGTGAAAAAGAATTAACCCCCTAAATGTCCTTGTGGCCGAGTCCAACTCCAAATAAAGCTTCAAAAATCCGCACAAAAATTGTAGCGGTGCACTCTTCTGGATAAGCATGAAAACCTTACTGAAATCCCTTATCATTCGAAGTGAATAGTCCAGACACCCACACAGTTGACGAGAGGGCCCGTTGTTCCAAAAGAAATGAGTATATGCTTGCAATTGCAAAGCAGGTTCTTTAACATGGATGTAACAAGCAATTGAAGGGAGGTTAACTCCATGGAAGCTGCCTTAAAACATGTAGCTCCACGAGAGCTCCCCCCACAACGCTCAACTACCTTATTGTTGCTGTGTACAAAGAATCACATCAATTTTTATATGGAATCAAGTATAGTTATCACCATGCATGACCAGTTGTGGTCTTCGCTTGAGTTGTCAGTTTCATCGGTGCTCCGGCTTGCCGGACTCCAGCTCAGTCCATTGAGAAGCTCCAGAGCGCAATGTCGCCTCCTTCCTCCCAGCTGCACTCGTCCTCCATGGCCATTGGCGACGGAGCGAAGAACGCGCTGCACGGGTCCATCATGGCGTACTCCATGCACTTGGGCGATTGGAAGAAGGCCTCGATCTCCGCGAGCGAGCACTGGCTGTAACCGTAACCCAGGAGGTCTACGCCGTCGAGGTCGGCGGCGCCGCTGCTAGCCGTCTCCGGGGAGCTCACCGGCGAGGCATTATTGCTGGAGGAGCTGCAGTACTCCGGGGTGACGGCGCCGGCGCTGTAGTCGTCGGCACCGGCGAAGTCGACGGCATCAGCGCTGGGACTGTCGTCGGCCCCGGCGGCGAAGTCGAACGCATTAGCGCTGGCCCCGGCGGCGGCGGCTGCGGCGACGCGCTGGATGGACTTGGGCGACATGGCGGCGGCGGGGAGGTCGAAGGGGAAGCGCACGGGGAAGTTGAGGTCGGCGGCGGCGGCGGCGCCCTTGAGGCAGAGCAGCGCGGCGTCGTAGGCGCGCGCGGCGGCCTCGGCGGTGGAGTGGGAGCCGAGCCATATCCGCGTCTTCTGCCCCGGCGCCCGGATCTCTGACACCCACGCGCCCCAGCTCCTCATCCGCACCCCCTTGTACGTCCTCATCTTCCCACCAAGCTGCTGCTGCTGCTGCTTCGCCGCCACGGCGCCACCGTCATTGCTCCCTGCTGCCGCGGTCTTCACCATTGCCACGTACGGCTAGCTTCTCCGCGAACCTCCTCCTAGCTCAGTCGGTTCCTCCGGTCGATGGTTTGGTTTGCGACGCGAGGCTTGTTGCTGAGTGCTGATCTGTGTGCTGCGCTCACTGGTCTGGTCGATGCTCCGACGGGATACTTCTACTTATAGGACGCAAAGCCACAGCCCAAAACAGTGTGTGCCTCGTCCATGGATTTGTTTACTGGTGGAACACAAGTAATGAAGCATTACGTTCACATCACAGCGATACTCTGACAAAACAGTGGCATATACAATCCGCGGTCGTACGTTTGGCAATAATGCATACGGAGCAAATAATAGCGTAAGAAAATCCAAGCAAGGAAGCATCCTGTGTGCTACTCCTACTAAGGTAGTCGACTTGACGCTGCGTCTTTGCCTTGGGCGTACAGTGTTAGCATAAAATAATAGTGCCTTGATTCGAGTGTGGCTTGCCCGGGCACGGCTCGGACATACAGCTGTGGGCTGTGGGCTGTGGCATGCATGATGCACTTGTTGCCTGCCTGGCCAAACCGAGTGGAGACTGCAGAGTGCATCAAGTGGCCTCAAGTGTCAACCGCACCTACCTGTCTTGGAACATGTGCTAAGAGCAACTCCAACGGGCGACCCAAACGGATGGCGATTTCGTCCGCTTTTTATTTGTTTGGATCGGCCGTCCGCCCTGTTTTTGATATGGGTCGGCAGCGCGCCCAACGCGTCGATCCATATATGCAGGCATGGCCGGCTAGCCGTCCAATTTTATATTGATTTTGCATTCAAAGATATTGTGAAATGAAAATGTTTAAAACAAGCCAAATAGTTCGGCCGCCCAAATAAATAGTATAGTTTTACAAGCCAAATACAAATAAAAATGTTTCACATAGTTTTGCAAACGAATAAAAAAAGATACATCTATTGGTTGCCAATATGAGTCCACATATGCTCAACCAAATCATTCTGCAATTGCACGTGAGTTTCCCAATCACGCATGTCTTCATGAAACTGAGTGAACTGCTCAAATGTTGCCGCTACTCCATGCTCAGGCATAACATTCTCACCCTGAAACAGAAAGCCTTGATCGTACAGACGTTCCGGACGCTCGTCTTCTACGATCATATTATGCATGATCATACAAGCAGTCATCACCTTCCATAGTTTCTGCGTGCTCCAAGTATTAGCAGGATACCGAACAATGCCCCATCGAGATTGCAAAACACCAAAGGCACGCTCGACATCCTTCCTAGCACTCTCTTGCTCTTGGACAAATCTTTTCCTTTTTTCTTCGACAGGGTTGGGTATTGTCTTGACAATAGTGGTCCACTGAGGATAGATACCGTCACTCAAATAGTATCCTTTGTCGTTGTTGTGGCCGTTGACAGTAAAGTTCACCGGTGGGCTGTTGCCTTCGGCAAGCCTAGCAAACACCAGCGAGCGCTGAAGCACGTTGATATTATTATGTGATCTAGCCATGCCAAAGAAAGAGTGCCAGATCCAGAGATCTTGAGACGCCACGGCCTCTAGTATGACAGTGCAAGCCCTGACATGTCCCTTATACTACCCTTGCCAAGCAGAAGGGCAGTTCTTCCACTCCCAGTGCATGCAGTCTATACTGCCAATCATCCCCGGGAAGCCCCTGCTGGCATTCATCGCCAACAAACGGGCTGTATCTTCACCTGTCGGCTCTCTCAAGTACTCAAGGTCAAACACAACAATCACAGTCTTGCAGAAACTTATACAGGGACTCTAGGCATGTAGACTCGCTCATACGGACATACTCGTTAATGAGATTACCGGGCACTCCGTATGCAAGCATTCGGATGGCGGCAGTGCATTTCTGATAAGAGGAGAAATCAATCTTGTCGACGGCATCCTCTTTACACTCGAAGTAGCCATCATAGCCGACCACTCCCTCTCTAATACGGTTGAAAACATGCCTACTCATACGGAACCGGCGGCGGAATTTGTGATGTTTGAACAACGGGTTTGTTGTATCAAAGTAGTCCTTCCAGAGAAGGAAATGCCCGCTCTCTCGGTTGCGATTCAACGCCGGAAGGTGGCCTGGAATGGAGCCACGAAACAACGGACGCTGGCTGTTGAGGTGGCGATGAACCAACACGACAGCCAATATCTCCTCCTCGTAGTCGGACGACGAATCGTCGGAGTCGCAAAGGAAATTGTGGAAAAAGAACTCGTCGGCGGAGTCCATTTCGTACCTTGGCAAACTGTCGAACAGCTTGCGGGCGTCGACGAAGGAGACGGCCGACGAGGGGAGTCGCGGCGCCCACAGACCAGCTAGCTGCCCTGCCGGCGTCTGACGAGTGTGCCGACGTCCGACGAGAGTGCCCCTCGGATGTGGCAGGGGCGGTGAGGCGGCTTCTTGGAGACGGGCAGCTGTGCGGTGGGGGAAGCGGCGGTGGGAAGCAGTTTGCTCCCCGGCGGCAAAACGACGGCGGAGGGCGACGGAGGGAAGGGGGCGGCGTTGCTGGGCGGATGTGGAGGCGGCGCCAGCTGGAAGAGTCGCCGGAAAAAATGGACGGTGGCGTCGGCAACGAAGGAGGCGGGAGGGTTGCTTTGTTGGCCGCAGGATGGAATGGGAGACCAATGTGCCACAGACCGGCGGCCCCGGGGACAGGAGTAGGCGAATGCGCGCGCGTACGTCGCGTGTCCGCGTCGACACAAATCAGGCTCAAAAATGGACCAAAAATTGATCATCCGCGGATGAAAAACGAACGCACGTTCGTTTGGGTCAATGCATTAGGCCGCTTTTTGTGTCCGCACCGATCCAAACAAACGGCCACCGACGAAATAGATCGCTTCATTGAAGTTGCTCTAAGTACTTTCTGACGGGTGAGGTCTCTGGGCGGGCCATGGTAAACGCCGCCCTGGGAGTTGTGTGTGTGAGATCGCAAGTTGCCGCCCGGCCATTGGTGATCCATGGACTTCCGTGGCACTTTCACATGTGTCATGTTCGTCAGTTAGTACTGAACATGAAACAAAATTCAGAAAAGAGTACTCCCTCTGATCTTTTTTAATTTATATATAAGATTTGTTTAAAGTCAAATCTCGTAAAGTTTGACCAACTTTATAGTAAAAAATAATATTCACAACATGAAATCATTATCATTAGATGCTTCGTAACTTAAATTTTTCATATTGTATAACTTTACGAGGTTTGACTCTAGACAATTTTTATATACATAGTAAAAAAGGCCGAAGGGAGTGCTACTGAACATGGTCCGGCACGTGGCGTCGGAGTAAAAAATCCAGAGCTAGATTGTGTGAGTATCAAGGCGCAAACACCATGGACGTCGACATGAAGGCACTGCCAAACACTACCAGTGTACAACGTTCACTCGGACTTGTGTGGCCCTTTCACATGAGGCGTGTTCCTCCGAGCATGTGGGCGGCGGCGTCGGAGTGAAAAATCCAGAGCTAGGATCGCATGACGTGCGAGTATCAAAGCACAAGCGCCATGGACATTGACATTAACGTCTCGATCC